ACATGGTCTTTAGAGGATCGTATCCGAACACAAAACGCGTATACTTTTTCGAATATCTCGGTTCTGCAAGATTGAGCTATGCCAGGAAGACAGTGAACACTCGCCCTCCGCAGAGCAGGCCACCTAACTCTGCCACCTAGTTGTTTAAAATACGAGCTGCTGAAACGACCGACAATATCCCTTATGAGAAAAAGCCAAGCTGTTCTAGAACACCTGAGCTAACGCTTTAAACTCGATGTCCCATCAGAAAAGTCTAGGACACTTCACAAGTTGCCTGTCTACTTCGAGCAGCTAGTTACGGATATGGCTTCTATCATATCAGCTACCAGATAGGAGGAAAACGGAATTACCGCGCCTGTCTTTTACCACTCCGGCTGCCCCGAGAAAATGCTTGTCTCAGAAATTCAATGGACTTGAAACTTACTTGTCGAAACTGTGACCGTGATCAGGAAATTTGCTATAGTATTACGATCAACAGACAAAACAATAGACAAGTTCTACGGCAAAGCTGATGCTTCCTCTCGGTTAGTGTAGAAAAAGAATGCTTGTGTCGGTCAAGACCATTCCTTGTAGCCAGGCATCCTCGGACGCAATGATGCTGGAAGTGCAGACGCCAGTGGTGACTGAATTCACACTATATGAGCCACTCGCTTGTTGTCACTAACGCTAGATTTGGCACCAAAGAGCGATGCATCACTACCCGTGATTGCAGCCACACCAAATGTTAAGGACATTGTGAGCAGTAATAAATCAACCCCACCCATGAACGCATTAAGTTTGACCTGAAATGTCTAAGTGATCCGAAAACCAGGCCGACATACCAACATCAAGTGGCCTCAATAGACTTCAATCCATGCAATCCGTTGACAGAAATATGAAGCCCCAAATGCTGAAAGCGGGAGATCGGGCAAATGCGGTAATACCTCTCTGACTGGCTTTCCGACAGTGAGCAGCAGTCAGTGACTGTGAAAATGTCACTTACTGCAGCTATAACCTGAAGAGAAATGCAGTTTACGTGCTGGTCACAATGGATCTGATATTCGCTGCGCGACGGGTCCTACACGAATACCGCGAATATCTCCAGTGGTTTCATTTCTAACTCGCAGACCTCCTGAAGATTTTCGCCGCCGTCAACCGAACAGCATTACGTATAGCTCTCTTTGAATAGACTGTCCGCCAAAATTCGTCAATCTCATCTCAAGTCTGTATGACGAAATGAAAGCGAACATGTAAAACGGTTCGAAATCCTCACTGAAGTTAAGTAAGGGTCTGTACCCGCCCCGGCTTCCATCGATCTGTTCAGTTCAGTTATTCAGTTAACAAACCGTGTATCGAAATGCAGTGGTTCGAGCTGTAGCGGCTACGTTCACCGAAGACAATGACAAAAAGGGAATGACAGTCACGCGGTAGGGTCGATAGCTAAATCTGTGCATTGACGAAAGAACGGTTTGCATATGAGGTGAGAGCCGCAGAGTGCGACCGACACAACTGTAACACCCGTTGGGTGCCCAGCTGCCATGTCACTCGAAGGAATCACGAGGGCTGAGATACTACCAAGTTGCCAGGGCCTAGGGAGCTGCCATGCACTTGAAGGAATCACGAGGGCTGAGATACTACCAAGTTGCCAGGGCCTAGGGCAGCAGTCGAGAAGCAGAAACTAGGTTCGAACAACGTACCTTCTGACCAGTAACCACTGGGCTATCTCAAGGTCAGAGCTACGCAGTGAAGGCGATGGCTTTAATGCAAGAGCGCCATTGGCTGAGTGGCAGCGCCATATCCGTCAGGGTCACTAACAACTCGTCCCTCGGTTCAGTTGACTAATGAGGGCTTTCAAGCTCCGTTTCCAAGTCATGGACCGTCAAACCTGGGTTATCCCCCAACCGACAGAAGGCTGGACGAAGAGGAATTTGAGAAGCAAACGGTCCTCTGGGGTACGAGGCACACGGCCTAACCAGCATAACCTGTGGAGTAACCAGCTGAAATATCGGGCGAGAATGAACTTTGCTAATAACCATCTGGCGTGCTTCGGTGCTGCTAGTGTTATGTTCCCACAAAAACTCACACAATGATTCGGAGACGCCAACGATCAAATACAAAAGTTAAAAAAATCGTGCCCTTTAGATGCCTAACTACCATGCCATCGGAAGGAAGCACGGGAGCTGGGATACTGCCACGACTGCCAAAGCTTGGACGGGGGGAGTCAAGAGGCGGATGGCGGGTTCGAACCACGGACCATGTGGTCAGTACATTCACACTCTAACCGATGAGCGATCCACACGAAGCGGCCACATTTGTGATCCATAAAGTAGGACTGCAGCATTTTACACTCTACCTTGAAAATCAAGCTAAAGTCACATGGGCGCCACAAATGTCGGAGATTAGCAAACGCTCCGTTGGTTTCCCAATCAGGGAAGTCACCTTGTCTCACCAGACCACCGGGACTTATACAGCTGTCCATCACGTTGATCGGCTGCAAGCATTCCTTGAAGGGCAAGCATATGAAAAAGAACAGACCGATCAACCGAGTCGAATGCGCCTAGGAAACCCAGAAACACTAAAACTGTGGATCGTTTATACGTATGGCGTTGTTCTAGCACCTGACGCAGTGTGAAGATTTGGTCAACTCAAACCCTACCAGACCGGAATCCCGCTTACCGCCCTCAAGTCATGGTCTCACGAGCCACCGTAAGGCGACGAAGCACCAGAGGCGCCAACAGTCTCGTTAAGACCGGGGTCAAGCTGATCCCCCTGTCGTTGCCACACTCACCACAAGCCTTTTTTTAAATGGGTACTACGACCGCCTCTCCCCAGTTGTCTGGGACAGACTCCTTTTCCTAAATGCAAGCATATAGATCAGACAAGCAGTGACTGAGGACTTCACCCCCATCCTTGAACAACGCGAGTGATAGGTCATCCGGACCAAAGACTCAGCGGCGCTTGAAAGAACACATGCAACCATGAACCCTGAGGTCTTAGTCAGTTCCAAGTTAACTGTCCAGGATTTTATGTCAACTGTGGGCTCTAGATGGGTGGCAGCTGGTAGCTATGACAACTGTTGTTCGAAGTATTCAGCCCACCGACCCAGGTGTCCTTCTTTATTCAAGACGGTCACTCCTTTCCGATCCTTGATGGTTTCGCTCACAGGTGGTTTCCGGGGACCGGTCGCACGGATCAACTGGAATAATCTTCGGGCGTTATCAGCTTCCTGGGCCTTTTTCACTTCTTTGGCTTTGTGTCCACAACACTTGACAGTCGGCTCGTACGCTCACTTTCACGACGTCCGATAATTCGGCGCATCCAGTTATGTTTGGGACTGAGCGGGATATTTCTCCAAGATTTAAGGAGTGTCGACGTTCGGTCTGATATCCAATGCTTGAGTGAGCCTGTTGGTGCCGTGCCACAGACACTAAGCAAAAAGGTGGCAATCTTGTCCCAATATGAGTTCGCATTAGATGGTGGAGCCTTTTGAAGAGACTCTAGAAGACGATTCCGGTAAGTGTCTCTAACAACCAGATCTGCCAGTCTCTTAGTTGCCAAGCTATTTGTCCGCACCTTACGCGGCCCATATAAGCGCAGAGAGAAGCGACGCCGTGTGTGGTCGGAATCCACAAACGTGTTCCAAAACGACCGGGAGTCCGTTTTTGAGCCGCGCCATCGGTAACTGATTACAAGGTTGTCGATTTGAGTTTGTGGCCGGTATACCGTTGGAGTACACCATGTGGCCAGACGACTTCGGCTATTTCGGAAGTTCGTACTGCATAAAAGCAGCCTGCGATCAGCACACAGCCGAAACGATCCTTCCCCATTTTCCATACGTACCGAGTCCTATCCATGTGGTCCCCCTAATTGAGTCTCAGACACGCTGAGCGCGCCCACTTGTGCATTCAGGTCTCCGTCAATCACCACGATATCTGAGCTTTCAGCTCGCCGCAGCAGGAGATTCAGGGCATCGTAAACCTGTCTTTGATGGCGTCGGAGCTGGGGCATAAGCGGGCACGACAAACAGACAGCGATCAGCTTCCCGCCTGCGAAACTCCTTCACAGACGTTGCCAGACGAACCGCACAGGGGCGAAAATCACCAGGTATCCGCCCACTGACTCAGAACGATACCGAATCCTGCACATCTCACTGCAGAAGACTCTGAATCACAAGAGGTGCGCAGCCGGAAGCGAGTGGAGAATGATGGGGTGGTTAGCTCATCCATCGTACTTGCACCTTGAGTTCTTGTTTCTGAGACACATCACACATCAATGCCAAGCAAGTGTGGTGTGAGTGCAAGAGCAGTTTGATGCCCTGCTTGCTTCAGAAGGCGGCCAAATAGATTGTATCGACGCTTGAAAATTAACTTAGAAATACCTGAGGATGTCGGCACCATGCGACGAGCAGATGCTGCACCCAAAACCGATGCAAGATGAACGGAGTCACAATCCTAAGTGCTGGACCTACAAGGAGAGAGTTATTAATGGGGCGGAGAGAAGAGGAGGAAAAAGTATGTGAAAGAGAAAGAAGGGAGGCGTCAGCAGTAGCCTGTTTCCGCTTACCCGCCCTGCTGTATGCAGTCAGTAAGGCGACCCGGCTGATGGCGCCACGCGACGGCCGCTGTGACATAAGTGTTGTTATTTGTAAGTGTCATGGCTGTACGTGGGCTGAGATACTAGCAGGGCGCCCAAACCTAGACAGGAGGACGATTAGGGTCCTCAACCAAAAATTTTGGCTCAAAAGCCTAACCGCAAGGCAGCGGTGTTTGGTGGGAAATGCAAATGCATTACCATTTTTACGGAACAAGTCGCCACATGTCCCAACCCCAACCTGGATGACCAGGAGACCGTGTTTGTTAGACCTCTAACCATTGACCAACATTGTATGAGAGAGTCTGTGAGTGTCACGATGAGAACCCTCAGTATAGCTCAATGCGTTGCCAAGGTGCACAAACCTCCACACCACGGTAAGGTTCAGTCTCTTCGTGATGGATGCCTGTCTTAAAAATGTTCCTCACGTTTACCCTCCGGCTTAGTTTGAGCACGGGGCAATCAAGTATGCATATGCATCTCATCCGTGGCCTTCACTATTGTGCGCGTCTCGACTGCTCCTACATAGGCTTGGGCAACCTGGTAGTATCCCAGTCCTCGCGCTTCCTTCGGGTGCCATTGCAGCTAGGCACTGAAAGGGTGCTGCAGTTGAGCGACTACTTACTGGCTTTGCTCGAAATCGGAACACAGCGTATTGCTACCCGATTCAACGAACCTTCGACCTGTCAAGTTGTTCGCTAAAGTACGTACGGCTAACGGAACAATTATGCGCAGTCTGTGATCAGTGAGGGCACGCCTCCCCCCAGCGCAGACAGCTCCATGCCAACTACCGATAGTGACTTGTTCGGGCACCTCGGGCTCTTGACTGACCCTCTACATTGAATATAACACGGTGGTGAAGGCAGTAGTGAAGGAGTTGGCGCATGAATCTACTACCAAAAATCTGGCCATCCGTCTCCTGATACTGCCAATCCATTCTACTAATGGATCATGAATGATGCTGTTAAACAGGTCTCACAGTTTCATGCGACCCCCATAAGTCACACTTTTTGCAATAGCACCAGCAACTTGATCCATTGCGTCAAAAGGCGAACCCATCTAAGAGTGTACACGCGAACTTGTCGTAGATAAATTCAGCAAGGTTAAAGCATAATACGAAATCCTGAGGTTTAATATCATCTGGACATCCGGAAACCCATGAGCCTAGTTTGTACATGTCTCCACAGTGAATTCCGATGAGTGGCATCCGCGTGAGGACCGTCACGAAGGAACCGGACCTTATCGTGGTGCGACAGTGTGTGCATCTCTACAACCCATTTAATTATACGGGATAGTGCACGTATGACACCCACAGAGGAACTCATACCAGATTAACCAATGGATCTAAGAAAGTCTCCAGGTCTCCCAGATTGAGCTGAAATGAATGTCGACTTGTTTCTCAAAGACGTAAGGTGCTCCGATGGTCTTACGCCAACACCGCTGCTTTGCAGCTACAATTTGGTTAAGGACCCTAATCGTTCAGTCTGGGTCTGGACGCTCTGGCAGTGTCCCAGTCAAAGGAAAACCATTAATTACATGCGTGGTGACTTCAGGATGCTCAGCGGAAACAGGGTTCCCGATCGGAACCGGCTTCAAAATACCCACCATCCTACTGGATTGCTCGCAACCACTTCGATCTTAACAGAATCACCTGACGGAAGCTCATTACCAGAGACCAGTCACACTTCAGAATATCAAAAAGACAACCACCACACTTTCCAAGTTTCTTTGAATGAAGTTTTTTTCCGAATAGAGGCTCTCAGAAGTTCCAGCATTTCATCAGCTCCACCTTCTGAGTTTTCGATGTCGTCTTACCACATTTAGACGGATTACTTGTCCATAACATGCACAACTACATGCGCCTCTTTGTAATCTTTCTAAATGAGTGAAGCTGCACGGCAACACCAACAAGGTGGATAAAAGAGAACTTCGGTGTAACTCCCTTCGTTTTTCCACCCGTACGATTTACTTCTCTAGCACTGGTCCCGCTGAGAAAGAGTTGGCGCCATCCGTGAGTATCCGTTATCAACCACCGCGACTCGAATCTGGCGCTCCATTGTTTTCAGAACTACTATTGTCAATTCATGACAGGCAACCCGAAAGCCAAACGCTCGCAAACAAACTTGTTAGGAAAAACCCGGAAGACCTTCTGGCACCGACGCTGCTAAAAACCTGTAGATATTATTCTCGTCCCCAAAAAACGCAAGTATGGTGCCAAGCTATCATCCAGGCCGCCGTAATTAATTGTTTTGCATTGCAGTTGGTGATTTGAATGTGGACGTAGGCAGGGTTCTTCGACAGTGCTTCAACAATACTTAGTGACCCCTAGCGTAACCTTTCAGAAGCCAAAAAACCGCTACAGCACGTTTCACCACGAACTTCTCACCATCTACCAGTCTGTCATTTCCGACATACTTGCGATCTTTACTGATCACAACTTCCCAAATTACCAACGTAACAAGGGAAATACAAAAGCCGGACTTCGTCTCGCTGTCTGGGCGACATTTGTCAATGGACTCACAACTGTTTTGCTTTCTAAGATCCCAAAGTTTATCGACGCATAAATAGCACATTCGAAAAGACCAAAACCTAGTTTGACTACATCCACATATATAGCAGTGAAACTTCACCAACATCGAAAGGCCTCATCTTTCTGTTGATATATGTCGATCAGTTTGCTCGTTCACCCTCGTCCTTCCTTTGATTTACATGGCAGACACACCAAAATGGAGCAACAGTTCAACGATTTGTTAAGTTTTTTATCCCATACACAACGTCCCTGCATTCCCGAACTTAGTACCACGGGGATATGCTTTCAAGACCGGACTGCTGTACCGAATTCACTAGGTACCACTGTTCAACTAAGAAGGACAATCCACCTGCTACTCAGGTTCCAACGCTCTATTCTTCCCCACCTTAACCTGGCGAAGAATGAACTCACGGTGGAAGCGGTCATCCCACTTGGCCATCACGACCATGCAGTCCTTGGATTTTTTCACGTGACCAGAAAAACTGCCACCTCCGACCTTCGCACCAGAATCAAGGCCAACCTCCGAGTGTTGCAAGGCCTCCTACATACAAGCGACTAGGACTTCATGCAAAAACCACGATCCCATGATGCACGGATAAGCCGCATCCACCGTCCGACACTCCCGACCGATGATATCAGAGACGGGAGCATGCCATGAACCGTGGTCCGAAGAGAGGTATCCCCAACAGGACAGAGAAGTGGACGGTGAATCGTTATTGCATTCGGAGACAACGACAAACTGCAGATTATGGTACCATGAACAAATACTACACTTCATGAGTTGGCGAAGATATGACGCGTTAAACGCCTTCACTCACCGCATTCTTTGTAGAAAACCTGAAACCCCCGAAGAAACATGATACTCTTCACATGGATAACGGTTTAGCGGGTCGCATGCGAAGTTGCTGATGCATCTGGCTATTACATCTTCGTGTCCGCCTCAGTGCCCCATAACCACACGGCACCACTCATTTCATCTGGGCTGCACATCATCCGAAAAGCAGTAGAACACAACCTCAAGAATTTAGTGAAATAAACTCACTTGCATACCACTTTGGTTTTGATAGGGGACTCACCTGGAATCCAGCTGAAGCCCTCATTTATGATGCTCATGGGCAACCGAATGTGCTGCACCAGGCAGCCTCGAGCCTCGGTTGGTACCATATCCGAGATATAACGAAGAGAGTTCAGCAACCTTATGACCAGTACAACACGTCTACAGAAACTCAAGGAATTCACACAAAATATTACTGAGGGTATTAGCAACATACGTCCCAGAACCGGGCTTTCTTGACCGAACTGTCCCCCCACTATCCGAATAATTTCAAGACCCTGTGGAAACAACTATCTCAACATACTAGAAACAATGTATCTAAGGGAGATCAGAACACCCAACCAGCTGCCGAACAACTACACTACTACCAGTGTTCTCCACACTGATGGAATGGTGGCGGACTAGCTAGCAAATGCCATAACGGAACAGCACTGGTTTAGACAGAAGAGAGCCTGCTTGACGAATTCCTTACACGTCAGACAGCTAAACCAAAAACTTGGACGCCTACATGGTGGGCGCCTTCTACCTGAACTACTCCATAGCCTCCCAAACAGTACAACAGTGACCATCATCATCATCATCGACAGCATGACATCAGTGTTCAACACCGACGCTTCACTGCCGTACAACCATGACCTATTTGAAAGCCTTATTGTAAAGAAAAGAATAAAGCTGGATGGGGAGGGACTTAGTGCTAGCTTAACACAATCATTCCGAGGTGCCTACACCTCCAAACATTCACTCAGGCAATCTGGACAGAAACTGACAACAATAACGCCATTGACATCGGTTGGCAGCTATACCTTGTAGTGTCTGCAACCAGGCACAGTGAGGATCACGCGGTCCCCATCCTGGAAGGCGAGTAGCACCGACAGCACCCAAGCGTTTCGTGATCTCCTTCATACTCCTC